CATGTCTTTCTTGTATTGGGGGCTCCAGAACTGGACGCAGTATTCCAGGTGGGGCCTTACAATCATTTGTGTCTCTTAAATCTGCACCAGTGGAAGAGTCAAACACTGTGAGCCAAATCCTATTTAATTTATTCAGGAACACATTTGTGTGAACTATAGTCCCATAACAAGCATTAGGTTACTTTGCCATGGCTGCAGCCATTTGGCTTTTATTTGCAGCGGGCTGTAATTAAATTATCACAATGCAGGAGCAGACAAGTTTCCTTTATACGTGACTGCAATTAAAGACATGCAATCACAACATTTTTTTAAAGCGACTACAATCAATTGGTTACAGTAAAGAATACCATGTAATAGAGCAGTGACTCCACTGTTAAGACTGAAAGAGGTTTCTATTCCAATAATCTAGTTCCCTTTTATCACGAGTTCTGCTCTTGGATAATTTATTTAAAGTTCATTATGTGTCTACAGCATATATCATTTGCCCTCAGCTTGGGCTGCAGAAGTCCCATTATGGCCAATTACTTAGTGTGATAAAATCTGCCACAGTACAAACTGTTCCTTAATTAGATTTAAGTTTTGTCTGAATTCTATTTGTAATTCAGACAGCAAAATAATAAGGCTGACAGCAAAGACTTGCTGTCTCCTTTCTTTGCTCCCTGTGGTAACATGTTAGGTTGGATGTAATCTTAGGATAGTTTAGAACTGAGACCCCACACCCACATGTTTTTTTGCAATACTTGTCTCCACTTCACGTTTCCATAACCAGTGCAGGGCTTGGGGGGTGTCCTGGCCTGGGAAGGAGTTCCTCCACCCAAATCCAGCCCTATGAGATACCTCACTGATAGCAAAGGGGATGGCTCCCAAAGCACCTGAGAGTATGTGGCTGTCAGCAGGGACTGCAGTGGTTGAGGGCCACTGCCACGCTCTTCTGCAATCATAGGCATTTGCTCTCCAGTCCCTATAGTTTTACTGCAGCAGCACACTGGTTGATGGAAGAAAAGCTGCTGACGAAGTGATAGTCCTACAGAACCACAAAGAAAGTGATGTGGGGAGTAGTACCCAGCCATGCCCTTCAGCTCGCTTACTGGCCATGCACTGTAAAGACCACGGTGTGCACAGCCCTGGGGCTTCCAGCAGCAAACACCATGCCTCGACCTGCTGCTGCAGGATGGGACCTTTGCTATTAACCTGGTTAACCATTAGCCATACCAGTGGTTTCAAGCTTGTTTGGGGATGACAGTATTGCTGCATTACTCCTTAACTGAATTTGAGTCGCTGATTTATCCAAGCCTTCCCCTGCATGGTTCTCAGCCATGAGAAGAGATTTGAAGCTGTTCTTCTCTTTAAAAACAAATGCCAGTGTTTGGCATGCATGTCCTCAAGCTCCAGCTTCAGTTTTCAGTGTTTTACATGTGTTTGAACCAAATATTCTACATAGATTTGAATTCAAATCCTGCAACCTGTCTTTGTGAGGTCTCACAAGTGAGTGAAGGTAGAAGGTATATAAAGAAAATTCAAGAGTGGAACAAGAAATGGAAGTGGTGATCCAGTAGGATTCATTTTAACAGATCCAGGTCACAGTAACTTGAGGACAGGCATCATCATGTAAGAAGTTGCATTCCTCCAGAAAAATATTATGCTAGAGATTTTTTTTTCCCATGAAAATATTTACTCCACTTTGAGAGAAAGAAGACATTCACACAAATGCACTTCCTGGATGCAACATCAGCAGTTATTTGCCATGTCCCATATTTTTAGTGGTCCCATATTTTCTGTTGTAGAGAGTGTGTACTGGGCTGTCTTCCCTTGAATCCTTCTTGTGGTACATTGACCCTGGCTGGACACCAGGTGCCCACCAAAGCTGCTCTGTCACTTCCCTCCTCAGCTGGACAGGGGAGAGAAAATATAACAAAAGGCTCGTGGGTTGAGATAACAACAGGGAGAAATCACTCACCAGTTACAGCCACGGGTAAAACAGACTCAACTTGGGGAAAATGATTTAATTTATTACCAATCAAATCAGAGGAGGATAATGAGAAATAAAACCAAATCTTAAAATACCTTCCCCTCACCCTTCCCTTCTTCTCGGGTTTAACTTTTCTCCCAATTTTTCTACCTCCTCCCCCCAAGTGGCACAGGGGGACAGGGAATGGGGGTTGTGGTCAGTTCATTACATGTTGTCTCTGCTGCTCCTTCCCCCTCATGGGGAGGACTCCTCACAGTCTTCCTCTGCTCAAATGTGGGGTCCCTCTCAGGGGAGACAGTCCTCCACGAACTTCTCCAAAGTGAGTCCTTCCCATGAATGACAGTTCTTCACAAACTGCTCCAGCCTGGGTCCTTTCCATGGGGTGCAGTCTTTCAGGAAGGGACTGCTCCAGCATGAGTCCCCCACGGGGTCACAAGTCCTGCCAGCAAACCTGCTCCAGTGGGGCTCCTCTCTCGACGGGCCACAGGTCCTGACAGGAACCTGCTCCAGCATGGGCTTCCCATGGGGTCACAGCCTCCTTCAGGCATCCACCTGCTCCAGCATGGGGTCCTCCATGGGCTACAGGTGGTCATCTGTTCCCCCATGGACCTCCATGGACTGCAGGGGGACAGGCTGAAGGGAAATCTCTGCTCCATTGCCTGGAGCACCTCCTTCCCCTCCTTCTTCACTGACCTTGGTGTCTGCAGAGTGGTTTCTCTCACATCTTCTCACTCCTCTCTCTGGCTGTAATTGCTGTTGTTCACTAACTTTTTTCTCTTCTTAAATACAACATCACAGAGGTGCTACCACCATTGCTGATGGGCTTGGCCTTGGTCAGCATTGGGTCCATCTTGGAGCTGGCTAGCATTGGCTGTGTAGACATGGGGGGAGCTTCTGGCAGCTTCTCACATAAGCCACCCCTGTAGTCTCCCCACTACCAAAATCTTGCCACACAAACATGATACACTGCTCAAATTTTATTCTGTATCTTGCAAATGGTTGCTTTGCAAAGTTGGATAGATTTATTCTGATGTTCCAGAAAACTTCTAAGACTAATGTCTAAGAGAAACACCTTTTAAAAATTTTACAGGGATAGAAATTTACATAGCAACTAACGACAAGCCTAAAAATAACATATCTCTTTGCAACATCAATCTTGTTAATGAACTAAAAGAATGAAATATTCCTCTGTCAGTTGTTTCCAAGGAACAGGGAGAAAAAAACCTAATTCCAGTATTAAAAAAAAAAACCAAACAACTTTTAAACAACTGCTCTGTTCTCCACTTAATTAAAAAGGATTCAAAAAGCACGTATGGAGCAGTTACGTTCTGGACATTCCTCTCTATAGTTTTGGTCAGTAGCATAACATGACTAGTCTGTCCTGCTTCATTTGACCCCTAATGAGAGTAGAAGATGAACTTTATATACCAGGGGACACACATCACACACTGTGATGTAGGCAGTCCCTTATATTAAAGTTCTGTTGTGCCTGTGCAGACGCTTCTCTGAAAATATGTATTTTAAAATAAAATTGTATCTATCTCTATACAGATATAACACTAAAAGGCCTCTAGTCACCAATGCACCAAAGCCTTTCCTTATTCAGTAAAGGCACCTTAACAGTGGCACTGCTGGGAAGTTAAAGATGTAGTTAGTAGTGGTTTTTAACAGGCTACAGAAGGTCTTATCTGTCAGCAAACGCTAAGCATTTCTCTCCTCCTTAAGCACTAAGAAAAAAACATGAACACAACAGATGACGACTTAGCCAACCCCACCACCTAGCACGACACTGAAGGTGATTTTCCCAACTGCACTGATGTGGAAGTCTGAAGACTTTGTATCTCCCCATTATGTACAGCATCATCTTCCTGGTAGGCTTCCTGGGAAATGTCATTGTGATTTGTGTTTACAGCTTCAAGATGAGGCCTTGGAAGAGCAGCACTATCATCATGCTGAACCTGGTGCTCACGGATCTGCTCTACCTCAACAGCCTTCCCTTCCTGATACACTATTACACCAGTGGGGACCACTGGGTCTTTGGTGAATTCATGTACAAGTGCATCCACTTTGGTTTCCAGTTCAACTTGTACAGCAGCATCATCTTCCTCACCTGTTTCAGCACCTTCCGCTACATGATGATTGTCCACCCTGTGAAGTTCTTCAACATCCAGAGGAAGCGCTGGACAGCAGTGGCTTGTGCAGCAGTTTGAGTGATCTTGCTGGCAACTGGCAGCCCCATCAACTTCTTGATCTCCTCAAAAGAGATGCAAAACAGATCCTTATGCCTCAGCCTTACCAGCTCTGAAAACCTGGGCACAATCAGGCAGCATAACTGGCTGCTGGCCAGCCTGCCCTTCCTTCTTCTTGCCCTTTCTGATGGTGACTCTGTGCTACGCAGTCATTATTTGCATCTTGGTTACTGGGTCCCCCACAGACGGGCTTGCTACAAACAAAAGGCTCGAAGACTTGCCATTGTCGTCTTGATGGTCTTCTGTGTGTGCTTCCTTCCCTTCTGCGTCTTTTGGGTGTCTCGGGTTGAACTACGGTTATGTCCCATTAGCTGTCATGTGGAGAAGCAAATCCACTCTGCCTGTACCATGTCTCAACCCCTCGCTGCGCCCAACATGTGGCAACCTGCTACTTTATGTTGTGATCAGAGGTAACTTCCAGCAGACCTTCCTCTCTCTTTCAAGGTGTAAGTGGAGCAAATACATCCAGCAGCCAGGGAGCAACAATTACATGACCAAGTCAGAAATTGCATTGTAGTTATGAAGGAATCCCAGCAAACCCAGGATGGCTTTGGTGTTGTAAGCTCCTGCAAAGGCAGGTGTGTTGATATGGTAGCAAGAATTGCAACTGACTTACCCCTTTCCCTGTAGAAGAGCACTTCTCAAAAAGTTGTCTCAGGAGCAGGTTTATATATACCTCTCTTAGCAACCAAAGAACAGGGAGTGAAAAGAAAATATTGTAAGCCACCTTGAAGGTGGAAATTAAAACCACCCAACTGGATTCTTTCCAAAAACATTTGGGAAGTGAAGGCTTCTCTTGCTCCAGGCTTGGCGGTTGACGACAAAAACATGGAGAACTTCATTTGGACATTAGAACAACTTCCACTGATTTCAGTGTTGTCACTGATGTACTGCTTTGTTTATTATAGCCCGAGAGAAACGCAGCAGATATAGTCATAGTTGCTGAATCCAATGAACAACATACTTGGAAAGCATCTAGATAAATTGGGTGTTTTCAAATGAGGTGTGAGGTGGACCTGATGAACTTCAGCCTATGGCACTGAGGAACTGAATGGTGAAATCTTGGGGCTGGCCTAGGGAAGGATGACAGGAGAACCCCAGGAGGATGAATGGCAAATACAAGGAAATATATGTGTGTGTATATATAGTGTATATATATATATATATACACACACATACAAGGAGACAGATATATATACAAGAATATATAGAAACGGAAAAGTTAGAAGAACAAGGAATTATCAGTCATGTTAATGTCCACCTCAGAAAAATACTGAAACAAACAATCAGATGACAAGTCTACAAAAGGTGAATACAGGTGAGTACGAGCCAGTGTGGATCTATCAGCTATGTACAGTCTCAGATCATTCTGATTTCCTACTACAACAAATTAACAAGCTCGTATATGAAGGAAAAGATGTCATGTATCTTGACTCCAGAAGGAGTTTTGACACTGTCTGAGATGACACTCTTGTGTGTAAGCTAAGGAAACAGTCTGGAGGAAACTATTTTCGCTGGTTACAGAGCTGCTCTCAGAATGGAGATATTAGTGATTTGCTATCAGAGTAGTGGGAGCCACTGAGTGGGGATTTGACCAATCTGTCCTGAGTTTAGGGTTATTTAGTATTTTCATTAACGTACTGGATGATTAAATGAAGTCTGGTTATTATATGTGCAGATGACATGAAGCTGAGAGGACAAAATTATGTTGACAAATAGCGACTATGGTCAGAAAATGGACAGGATGCTATTAGACAGTGATAGGTGCAAAGTACTACGCTTAAGTAGAAATAGTGAATGGTAAAAATGCAAAAGGATAAAAAAAAGTGTGAAAATATATGAAGAAGCCTTTACAGCCTTTGCAGTATTGTTACCCTTCCAGTGGGAGCAACGTGTCCAGCTTTGGAGGCTGCCCTTCTGGGAAGACACGGGTGAGAGGAATGTGGTAAGAGCACTCAGAGAAATGACCAAAGGGGAAGGAACCAAACAGAAAACTAAACGGTCTTAAAATCCCCCAAGGGTGGACATTAGGAAGAACCTTCTCTAGGATGGATGACTCTCCACTGTCACATGTCCCTAGAAGTAGGCTAGCCAGGTGCTGAACAAGAAGGACACAAGACTACCTGACCTCTGGAGCTCTCTTTTGGCTATGAGGCTCTGCAGTGAGACATATGTTATAGAATCATAGAATCATAGAATGGTTTGGGTTGGAAGGGACCTTAAAGATCATCCAGTTCCAACCCCCCTGCCATCAGCAGGGACACCTTCCACTAGACCAGGTTGCTCAGAGCCTCATCCAGCCTGGCCTTGAACACTTCCAGGGAGGGGGCATGTTGCCAGAAACATTGGTGCTGGTGAAGCCAGTGGTACCCGGCAGCATCCCTGGCACCAGAGCATGTCCCACCACGCTGCCACTGCTCTGGTGGACCTCAGACAGGTGGCTGGTGGCTGCAGCCAGTACGTGGCCAGCAAGGCCTTGGCACCCTCTGTGAGTCAGCACCATGCCCTGCGGGCAGCCTGCAGACAGGCAGTGATGCACAGGTACCACACCTACATAAACAATGAAACCATAGTGTTTTAACACATCGTGTGGATATTTAAAACACTTCATTCGGTAAAGGCTCTGTTCCAAGCAGTGCTAGAGGACTTTTGACCTGTTTCCTATTTTAGATTGTCCTTTTCTGTATTGTTGCCAAAGTCTGAATTTTACAGGTCGCCGCTAGATGGTGATCATTCATGTCAAGCACCTTGGTTTCACATATGCATATTTGATTCAAATCCACAAGTTACACAACATACAAGACAATTCACATGAAATAAATAGTTTCTGACCTAGATTCATAACACCTCAGCTCTCCAACATAGGGAAAAAGTACAAACGCTCTGCACAAATTCTCTTCCACATAAGTGAAAGCAGAAGATATGTCTACCACTTACACAGACACATCTGAAGGAGTGGATTAAAAATTATCTTTTTTCCTCTCCCAGAGCATTTTTAATTCGTGTTCTCAGAAGCTCTTCCTTCCCAAGCCCAAGCTGAGCTTATCATACATGAACAGAAGCTCTTCAGTACAACTACACATACAATATAAAGTGGAGTGGTTAAAGGTAAAAGGCGTGAAATGGAAGTGTTCATGGCTTTCCATCTCTGACAGCAGCAAGAGTGAGTCCCACAGTTTCAGTGACTTGGAGGAGCTATCTTTTCCCCTTCTCCTCTTCTCTTTCCTTAATATAGCCATTGTTTGGTTGCCTTCTTCCTATTTCACCTGCTCATCCACCACGTCTCTTCATTTAGTTTGGGATAAACTAGCTGATTTTAAAGTGCCAAAGTAGATTATGGAATGATCCTGGGAGCCATAGTTCACTGGTGGGGCAAGAACCTCCAGGAGAAGGGCAGTCATATCTTCCATTAACATGGCTGGATCTGGAAAAGGAGAAAAGCTCAACCTTACTGCAGGGATTTTTAAAGCATTCAAGGACTGCTCAGGTGTTCTGCGGGAGAGATCTGAGAGATCATTATCTCATCTGACTCATTCCTTTTGCTTACTGTGAAGGGTGACATCTCGATAGCTTCTATTTTTAGCAGCTGTTAAGTTTACTGCTGAAACAAGGGTGTTTCAATTGCAGCAAACAGGAGACACTTTCCAAGCTCTGTATACAGTGTGACAACACAGCTACATAAATTACTATGCTATTGCAGGCTAATTTACAGCGTAGTTATGCTCCAGTAACCAGGTTTCTGTCAAAAGTCTCTAGTATGTTTGTCTGCAAAGACAGTCATGCCAACTCGAGTACCTGCCAGCACGCTGTGGTCTGCCTGGGACCACAGAAGGACCAAGAGAATCACTTTGCAAGGTAAATCACTCAGGGAGATGTCAACTCTGATGATACTAAAGATGAAATTTTGGAACTGCTGACTGCTTTTGTAGACATGTCGAACCTTATTCTTCACAGTGACTCATGTACTGCCACAGATTGCAACAGAGCTATTTCCTACCCTTAACTGTCCAAAAAGGCAATCAGCAATTTTTTTCCTTCTCTCCCCAAATCATGTGTTCCCATAAGAAATTAAAGCAAAAGGCCCTCCTCGTACTCAAACCTCACAGAGAGCAACAATACCAACTGTAATGTTCTGCATTAAACATAAAGGCCAAACAATTATGTCTAGGAGGGGAAATAAAAGTTGACCCTAAATAAAGAGTATTTCAAGGCCTGTTTTCTGAATAGCTACTGGAAAAGAGCAGTACTTTTGACTCAGGTGTCTTGCTGACTCTGTGCCTGAGCCCATCGAGTGCTGCAGTGGAAAGCAAAGCAGATCAGACGACTTCTAAAACAGGAGAAAAAAT